AGTTGGAGGTTGCTGTGAGCTGTGATACCATAGCACTCTACCTAGGGGGACAGCTTGAGGCTCTGTCTCAAAAAAAAGAAAAGCAGAGACAGAATGACCAAAACTTTAAAAACATAATCAAAACTTGTAATTACACACCTCTCAAAAGAAACACCCAACCCCTAATAATAAAGTAAATCCAAGAAAAAGTAGCAGAAGACCAGGCAGGTGTTTCGGCTGAGGATGAGGATACATCCATCTCCCACAGAGCTGGAATCATTTCTCCTCAGGATTAAAATCTGACCAAAAAGCCGGTTTACTATGAAACTCTACACTGTACAATTTCCTAGTCAGCTTCTGTCACAATATAAAAATGATTGTAATAATGAGAAATAACCTACCGCCAATGAGACATCATTAAAAAAATAATGCTGAGATTCTTTGATGGACGTAATCAAACGTCTAAACAAAAGCCCCACGACAACTAAACCACTTCATAGCTTATCTCTCATTAAGCCTATCAGCAACCTTTTACCGTTCTCCTGACACCCACAATTCTAAGAGTCAACAAAGCCCTGGGCAGAGTACACGTCTGACTCATCGTTGCGCCTTCCACAGAGCCTGGTGCAGTCGGTACTCAAATCCTTGGTGTGGAAGAATGAAAACACCCTCCCGTACCAACATGCCCGGACTTCTCACGGGAGGACTTTCCTCCTGAATTATAAGTTAGGGCAACTCCCTAGCAAACCTTTCAAATAAATTCAGCAAACATTTATGGAGCACCCAGCATGTGCCAGTGTCAGGCACCGTGCTTGGCAGCAGGGTGTAAAGATGAGTCACACGGCCCTGAATGCCCTGCGGGGACCCAGTCAGGGATGAGAAACACAAGGTACAAAACGCAGTGGGAAAACCCTCAGCCAAGATAAGACGCTGTGGGAACACAGGTGGGAACACAGGTGAAGGCATAGGGAAATGTATGTGTGTGGAGGGGGTGAGTTTGGATAATCCACAGGAACACCATTCCAGGCCCTCCTCCTGACACACACACACACACACACACACACACACACACACACCCTTTACCCTTGGCTTTGTTTTCCGTGGTTTTAGTTACCTGTGCTCAACCAAGGCCTGGAAATATTACATGGAAAATTCCATAAGCAGACGATCCCTAAGTGTTAAACTGTGAACCGTTCTGAGCACTGTGATGGGTTCTCTCGTGCCCTGTCCATCCTCCTGCCCCTGATGGGAATCATCCCCATGTCTAACGTATCCAGGCCACAGATGCCACCCACCTGTTAGTCACTTAGTGGCCACCTCGGTTATGACATTGATAAAACAGTCAATACTGTATACCAGGGTCCTATCTGGGGCTTCAGACGTCCACTGGGGCCTTAGAACATTACCCCTATGGTCAAGATCAAGTTATTCCATGGTATATAAGCCTTTGGGGGTCTGCCATAGGTCAGAGTTTATTCCCGTGCAATAAAAAGCCCACAGGCATCATTGTTGTATCACTGGGCTCTTGCTGGTTGCCAGACATATTCCCAAGAACTCTGTAAGTGTTAACTTATTTGATGCTTACAATAACCAGATAGGGTTGGTGCTATCATTCATCAGAGTGACAGATGAGGAAAGTGAAGCAGAGAGAGATGTAAAGGCCTTGTCCTGCTCTCAGGCCTGGGCATGCCAGCGTGGAGAAAGGAGCCCGGTTCTGACTGCAGAGGCCCCTTTCG